CACACACACACACACACACACACACACACTCACTCTCTCTCACACACACACATACAGGTCTCCAAACATCAGCCCCTCATGTGTTTCCCTCTGACCCTAAAATAGCCCTGAGCGGGGCGTGTGGAGGTGGAGGGTCTGATGCGTCAGGTTTGGGCGTCCCGGCTGGTATTGTTCTCAGAGAGAGAGAGAGAGGAAAGCGGCTCGCTCTCTGAGGGAATCATGAGGATCTGACCTGGTTTCTGCTGGTTTCGTGCTGTGGCTCGTGTTTCTGTGGTTTTATGCGTTCGTGTATGTGGAAAGGATGGCTGATCTTACGGTACGTGTGTGTTCTTCATCACATTCACGCTGTTTGTGGAGTTACGAACGCTCTTGCTGTCTGCTTCTGTGCGTTTCGACCAGAACTAAGAATCGATGATTGGGAGCTGCAGGAACAAGATTCTGTGTTCGTCATCTGAGATGATTCATGTTTTTAACTTGATTTAGTTGAGCAGAATTGTTTGAAAAATCATTGTTCTTGAGTTTCTTTGATTTAGTTTTAGAGTCGAACCAGCTCATAGTTTTGAAGAGGTGGAATATTTGATGTGCCTGTTGATCAGACCGTCTTAATGAAGGAAAAGATCACTGTTATAGATGTTTTTGAATCTGATTAAAGGAATAGTTCACCCAAAAATGAACATTTACTGAAAATGTGCTCATCCTCAGGCCGTCCCAGATCAGGATGAGTTTGTTTCTTCATCAGATTTGTAGAAATGTAGCATTGCATCACAGCACATGTTCATTTTTAGGTGAGCTGTTCCTGTAGCTGGTGTGTAATAGTGTAATACTAGTGTAATAGTGCAGTGTGGCTCTGCTCCAGCGTGTGGCGCTCTTCAGTGAGACGCTGTCATGAGGAGGGACAGTCTGCGGTCTCAGCGCTCCTCCATCCACAAACACACTCAGAAGTAAGATGTCTTTAACTAGCTCCTCCCTCGTCCCCGTCCTGTGATCCGTAGCACCAGAGACAATCAGACTCCTGTAGAAGTGTGTCTCCTTCAGGTCCTGGAGGGCTGTTGATCCTAAAGCTGATTGGCCACTGTAAACTGGTTATGTAAAGGTTAGTGGAGTTGAAGAACCTCCAGGACTTGGTTTAGTCCTGATTCATCTCCCCTTCCTTCTTCATCCTCTACAGTCATATACTGCTCACTTTACTCAGAGATGCTCATGTTTTCCTTCAGTATTTTTTGTAGACACACACACACACACACACACACACACACTCTCTCACACACACACACACACACACAGGTCTCCAAA